CAGCCAACAATGTAACATGGACTCAACTTTTTCCCTTTGCTCTATGGAAACTTTGGCTTAACAGAAATAGGAATATTGAAAATAATACCACTAATAGTGTTTCAATATCTTTTGTTATCAACCAAGCTATAGAGTATACTCTCCTGACTGACAGAGAAAGTAGTCATATAAGAAGAATCCAATGCAAGACTCGCTGACATAAACCTTACACTGGATGGTACAAACTGAACGTGGATGGAGCCTTCAAGCATATTATCTTCGGCTTAGGAGGAGTCATAAAAGATTGTAGAGGAGATTGGATCTTGGGATTCCATGAGAAAAAGCATGCACTAACACGTACACTAATAGAATATATGAGTCCACCAAACTATATAGAGACCACGTTCTATGTAGGTTTCCACAGATAAGGATAATACAACAGTAAGTAATTGGAACACGGAACTTTTACGTGGAAAAATCCCTGCTCAAGGGGATCATAATACCACGGCCTACACTGGTAGGATTTCAACTTCACTATGAGCAATCTTTAGATTACAACCTATGCAACCTAGGAATTAAACTCTTAATCCCTTACTAACTTGTAATACACCTATTACAAGCCACTTTGCAATACACCTATTACAAAGACTTCAACTCATGACTAACTCTAGTCACGACACAAACACTAAAGGTTTATGATTTACAAAGGGTTCCTAGTTAAAGCTTCTAGATAAGCAAAGTAGGAATTACAATGAAGAACAATTACAAAGTTACAACTTAACTAAGGACATACAAGAGACTCTTTATAGGAACTGGCCTGTGGTAGTGTTGTACCTTGTTCTTGATGCACTTGAGAATTGAATGCTTGATTGTCAGATGCTTAGAATGCTTGAATGAATTCTCAAGTGTTCAAGTGATGTTTTGTTGTAATGTTTTTTGTTAATACAACTTGGATGACATCACTTGAATAATGTAGTCACTTGGTTGGTACAAGGTTCTTCCCAATGAGAAGTGACTGCTGCACTGTTTGCGTGTTCAGTGCAGGCAGTCACTTTCCAGCTGTAGAGTTGACTTCGTACTGTTGTCCGGAGAACCCAAGGGGATCAGGTACTGTAAATGCCTAACTTTTGCTTTGTTTATATATATATATATGTGTGTGTGTGTGTGTGTGTGTGTGTGTGTGTGTGTGTGTGTGTGTGTTTTTCTTATTTTTTGTATGTATAAGTTTCAAGAGTTGATTAACTGTTTGATAAATGGGGTAGGGATTGGACTAGTGTATTTTAATTAAAATTGAGCCAAAATTGGCCCAAAATTTGAGCCCATTTCGTCCAAATCCGGTCCACAAGGGGCTGCCAAGAGGAGGGTCCAAACGACGTAGTTTTGGATCAAAACTACGTCGTTTCACTAAATGAAACAAGATCAAATCTTACCCCTCCATTCCATCNTAAGGTACTATAAACCTATCAACATGAAATGCATGCTGTTACAAAATTGCTTTTCATGCCGTTCACTTCTAACCAGCATAAACCAATGCAGCGGAAAATGGAGATCCTACAAAGAAGCGAAGGGTGGAGCGGTCTCGGAAGTATGTAGAACTATTCTCAGAACTTGTGTGAATCTTATTTTACTACATTCATTTTAGTGATCATTAGTCTTTCACTTTGTTCTTATTCTTAGTTAAATGTGTGGAATAGACCAAATCATAAGAAAATTGGAAAATCAAGCAAGGAAAAACCCTTTTTATTTTATTCTTCACGTCCAGGATTACGTCCGGGATCATTAGATAGGAATCCAAAGATGAAGAGAGAAACAAAAATATCACTACTGTGTAAACGAAGAGTTTGAGAGTAAGCATTACACAATCTCCAAGATGATTTTTTTGAAAAAAAGAGAATAGATCATCCATTTTTCTACCGCATATGCTAGTTTGACACCAGGCAATGAAGCTCTTTCTCTAAAAGAATTTTCATAAATTCTTTTCTACTAAGAGTTTGTCATTAACCAAAATTTTTTTATATACTACAATTAGGTATTGTGTAGGAGCCTAATAAGGTCTTTCACTGGAAAGGTAAAGCGTCAAAAAAGGAAATAAGTTAAGCCGGATTTCTCGTGACTATCCAAGAATTTCAATGTTTGAATCGAGGTTTCAAAGGGTAAAGCTTATCTGATTTTATTTATTTTAGAATTTTTTCTCGAATAAATCATGAATTTTCTAGGATATTATTAAGGATCTCATCGAAAACTTACAGCAGCTTGCCAAACAAAGGCTAAGAGAAAAAAGAACAGAGGTATGACTGGCATAATATCTACGATTGGATTCAAAAAAGCATAGGCCTCGGGCAATTTGCCGAAGAAAAAACTACTCGAAAAAAGGGTCGAATTAAGACAGATACCGATCAAACTCAAGGTATTAAGCATAACAGACTTTTTGTTCTTGGAGATAATTGCATTTTGATTGAGTTATTGATATAAGGAAAAGGAAAGTAAGTAAGGTAAACAAAAAATACTTCTTTTTCTTTGAACCCACCCAATCAAAAATCCTCCTTTTCTCAAAGGAGAATCGAAAAAATCATATTTTCATACAATATCTTAATTGAATTATATGTAATGATCAATAAATTAAGTTGAATTCTATATCTACACATACCAAAAACATCGCAAAATCCTAGTACCAATCTAATCTATTCTATAGATATTTGGACTAGAGTTGACAAACAAACAAAACAAGCAATATACTTTCTTAGTATCGAATAGAAATCCAAATGGGGCGTGGCCAAGTGGTAAGGCAACGGGTTTTGGTCCCGCTATTCGGAGGTTCGAATCCTTCCGTCCCAGAACATATATATTCTATGAGAATATAGATTGCTTTTTTAACAATGTTCTGTTTAAAATCGAAATGTTAGCTGGAATGTGATTCTTGTTTCTGATTTTTTTCTTCGATGAATCATTTTTTTTTTTCAAAAACTGAATCGAGATGCGAAAGAATCTATATTCCCTATCTCGTATTCTCTATCCCCTAAATTAGCCTAATTAGATTCAATTTTCTTTTTTGTGGATTTCTTGACTTTTCGCCAAGAGGGGGTTTTTGGTACTAATTAAATTCACTAAGTCTCTTAATTCTTAATCAATGAGTTAGGCTAAAATATCAAAAAATAGGAGCAAAAACTTGACTTAATCTGGACTTGTTTGGCTTTGTGCCTAGACAGCTCGCATTTCGTAAAAATCAAAAAGACTAGGACACCCCCTTCTTTTCTTTTGATTTANTCCTCTTGTCCCCCTCTTTCCATATCTCCAACTCAAAACCTCAAAAAACCCAACCGCCGCCGGCAGCCGCCCCTACTGCCGCCATCCCGCCGCCGCCACTGCCGCACACTTCCGCCCGTTTCTTTTCTTTAACCGGCCTCGAGCAAGGTTGTGTCGTTGATATTATTGAAACCGGACTCGGATTCGCCGGAATTTTTTGGTTTCAAGAATATCAACAATAGAAGCTTGCTCCAAAGTCGTACCACTGCCTATCGTCGTCTCCCGGATGCTCGAGTATATGGTAAAATCGCAATCCCGGCCCCGTTATTAATTTTCTGATTTTTCTTTTTCTTTTTTTTTAGAGTTAGTTTCTGTTTTTTTAATTTACCTTAAACAACAAAATTACCCTTTTCTTCTATATAGCATTGGGCCAATAAAAATCCATTCTGTTTTATTTTTTAGTAATTTTTCAGCAGCCCAAGAGGTCTTTACAAGCTGGCCCATTTCCCCTTTTAACAAAGAAGTTGGCCCATCCCTTTAAAATAGATAGAGTTGGTCCAACATTTATTTGCATAATATTTTCAATAATAAGATTAGAAAAATAGAAATAAAAATCAGATTTTTTTTATATACCAATTAAGTAACTCACTTTCTTCCAATTAATTATATCGAACGCTAGGCAATTAGTAGGTGCGCTCTAATTCCACGGTTTCGCTTGCGTAACGTGATGTTCAACATTCAATAATTTAATTCAACAAGGTCATACAATATTCGTTAGTTTTCCAGTTGATTTTTAGTTTAATAAACTCTTTGCCAAACTCGCGGATTCGCTTGCGTAGCGCGATAATTGACCTTTTAATAAATTCCAAAAAAAAAATTAATAATTAAACTCTTAGAATGTATTAATTTTCCTAGAAGTAAATAACTTGCTAACAATTGTTTGTCATGACTGCGGATTCGCTTGCGTAGCGCCGTTATGATTAAATAATAAATTTTGTCGATCACGCATTCGCTTGAGTAGCGCGACGGTTGACTTGTAAATTTTAAAGAGCTAATTTTCTCAAATGTAGTATTTTTTTTAAAAGTATTACAAATAATTGATTGTCATGATTTCGGATTCGCTTGCGAGGCACAATTATGATAAATTAATTAATTATTTTTTATTCGATCACGCATTCGCTCGCGTAGCGTGGTTATGACATTTTTTATATTATTCAAAAACATTCTTTGATTTCTCTAATAATTAAGAGATAAAAGCGGATAGGTACAACACGAAAATAATATAAATCACAGTTTGTCCAAAATTAATTCAAGCCAAGTTTAAGTCAATAAAGCGACCGTGCTAGAACCACGGGACTCGGGGAATGTCTTATACCTTCTCCCCGGTCAACAGAATTCCTTATCCGAACTTTGTTTTCGCGGACCGATAAAAATAGAGTCAAACCTTCCTTTGACTAGGGATTCAAATAAATGGTGACTTGGAACACCGAAAAAATCAATTCCAAGTGGCGACTCTGAACAATAAAATAATCCCTACTCAAGTTTTTGTCACTTTAATTGGAAAAACTCTTTAACCCATACATACATATATTTCGGGGTACAAAGAGTGGTGTGACATACGTATACGGAGGGAGTACTATTTATCAACGACAACACATCAAGCTTATCTTCAACATATTAAATTAAGTCTATTATGGCTGCTTAGAGCAACACGTGGCTCATGTAGATTTGAGGCCAAAAAATCTCCTATAAATATATCACTGTAAATCCAAAACAGACCAAAACATATATAGTTCCCTTTCTTTTTATTTTTCACAACTAAAGACTATGGCGAAGTTTGCTCACGTCGTTGCTTTCTTGCTTCTTGCATCACGTTAGCCATTTCTCACTCTCATGCTCCCATTTATTTCTACGTTATTTTTCTTTCACATTTATTTCTATTTATCCAAAAAATAATAAAAACAAAAAAAAACTTATGTGAATTATTTTATGAACAGTCTTTCAACCCCTCACTGCTCGAGATTTGGAAATCAATGTCTTGCAACTTGATGTGTCTCAGTCTGGTTGCCCAGGTTTGGTTTTTATTCTTAATTTCATCTTTTCTGCTTATTACAATATTAATTAGTTTCATTGATCACATATTTCAACAGTATATCCATTTTTATGTATTATCATTAATACTAGTGAAATTTAGTTGTTCATTTTTTCTAATATAAATTTAATTGTGATGCATAGTACTGTTAAATTTATATATAATAGTGCATGTTTGATATTCTTTAATTTCATAATAATATCTCTCTCACACACATTATATGTGTATAAATTATAGGAGTGACAAAGGAAAGATGGCCAGAACTTCTTGGAACACCAGCTAAGTTTGCTATGCAAATAATTCAGAAGGAAAATCCAAAACTAACTAATGTTCAAACTGTACTGAATGGTGATGCTGTTACAGAAGATTTAAGATGTAATCGAGTTCGTCTTTTTGTTAATGTATTGGACTTTATTGTACAAACTCCCCAGATTGGTTAAGGGATGATATATTTATGTAGCCTCCAGAAAATAAATTGGAGCTGTATGGTTAATGTCTCCATGTATTCCCTTATTTGGTTATAAATAAATGTGGCTTTTAATATAATGTGATTTATGATTTATTTATTCTAAATTCGTATTAGAATTGGAATTTATAATTTTTTTCCAACAACATTAATAACTATATGCCCACTATATTCCTACATTATTGGGTTTAAGGAGGGTAATCTGTACGCAGACTTTACCCATACCGTGTAGTGGTAGATAGGATGTTCCCGATAGGCACTCCGCTCGAGAAAAAAGATAGTGAAGAAGCTATATTGAAAAATAATGAAGACAAGAATGATAACAACATCAAAATAGCATGCATACGAAAAACAAAATAATGAAAAATAACCGGGTAGTAATAGTGTCACGACTCAAAATTCCTCCACAAGGAGTCGTGATGGCACCTAATCTCTAAAACTACGTAAGCCTAACACGTTCCGAAATGATAACAAGTTTTATTAAACATGAACCAGTAATTTCTAAATAAACCAACAGTCTCAACATGATACAATACCCCAAAACTGGTAGCTGTACAAGTCATAAGCCTTTCTAGGAGTAATTATACAAGATGAATACATCACTGTTCCGGAATAATAGAAAAAAATGGAATAAATACAATAGAGGGTGACTTCGGGGCCTGCGAATGTCCAGCAGGTATACCTTGAAGACTCCAGCCGCACAAGCATAAGTCTCAAAACCAACCCGATCCGAAGTACCTGGTTCTGCACAAAAATATGTAGAAGCGTAGCATGAGTACACCACAGTGCTACCCAGTAAGTATCAAGCCTAACCTCGGTAGAGTAGTGACGAGGCCAGGTCAAGACACCTACCGAACATGTAAACCTATGTAGGATGTGACATAAAGCTAACAAGGAAGGAATATCAATGTAATTCCAATAACAGAAAGAATTCCGATTACAAACAGTAGTACAAATAAGGGGGATACGAATGGCAACGAGGAATTAACCAAGTAATTAAGCAACAACATAGTCGGGGTACAGATGTAGTATAAATGTGTTCAAGTAGGAAAAATAATGTCAACTCAACCAATCAAATCATTTCTAATACACGAATTTCAACAATCCTGCTTCTCGTAATCTCAAATCATAAATCACACTTCCAAACCTTTAATCCACATGGAACCTTGTGCCACATTTGCCATCTCACTTCGCACGGCAAAAATTCACGTGCTACTCAATATAGGATATTCGTGTCAAATGCTAATTAGGGTATTCAAGATATATATATATATATATATATATATATATATATATATATATATATATATATATATATATATATATCGTAAAGTAAAATCATAGTTTCTGAACCAAGTAGGAAATCAATGAGAAAAATGATTTTATTTTAGAAATCATTTGAGTGAAGAAGATAACATTTTCAAATAAAGTGCAACATCAGATAAACTACTGAATTTAATAAATTAAACATAATAGTAATTTCTTTTTAAGTAAAGTAGAAACACCAAATAGGGTAAGGCGATTATGTTGAGAAATCGATTAAGGTGAAATGTGATGACTATAAAAAATAGTAAGGTACCGAATGAAACGCCAAGTTTTAACTTAAGAGTCACATAAGGTAAGCATATTACTAATTCTTTTATTTATAATCGTTATATTACTAACAACTCAGCAGGATATGAGGTAATGACTCAGCGTAGTAAATTCATCTTAGAAATCAATTAACCAAAATAATAGTGTTAGGAAAAGAATTTAGGAAATGACGGCAATGCAATAAATCAATGAAAACAACTCAATCCTCGGAAACCAGTGAAAAACCGAAAATACAAATCCTCAGAGTCTCTTACGAAAGAACCGAAGCCAATACAATACAGCAGGGAATACAAAACTCATAAACTGTTGCTGCGCGCGACCCGATCCCACCGTACAATACTATTCACCCTCATTCCATCTTAAATGTCAATAATAATAAATAAATATATGTTGCATCGCGCAACCCAATCTCACCATTTAATCAGAGTCAATATCATATTTCACCCTTATTCCACCATATCAATTCACCATTGTTTCACCTGTTGCGGCGTGCAACCCGATCCTACCATACAATATCAATATCATAATTCACCCTTATTTCACCATAACAATGGCGTGCAACCCGATTTCACCGTACAATAATTTAAATCAACAACAACAATTCAATAATTCAAATTATAGGAGTTTCTACAATCAAGGGTATGAGTACACGATAATAAAGGGACCACGTAAAAGTCACAGAACGCAACAAATATTACAAAAAGGCACCACGACAACTGAAGCACGTGACAGCTGAAGCGTGCAATTACAAAAACTAAGGCAAGTAGCATGTAAGCACGGAGTCATGGAAGGAACTCAACAATTAAGAGGTCACAAGACAATAAAGGAAGCAACAACTTCAACTAAAGCATTTAAGTGCACAATATCAAGTAAGAGGAAGAACAAGTGCTAACAACGTCAAGTAAAGCATGTGAGAGTAGATTAACGATGAAAGATATCACAGGTTATGACACTTCAATTAAAGGCATGGAACGTGTTTAGATACTCGAAACCGATCAAATATACCACATATAGGTCGTGTATCCACTTGTCACCTTGCGTACACGGTCTTCACATAACACGAATAATACATTATCTCAAATCCTAGGGGGTAACCCCCCCCCCCCCCCAAGTTAGGCAAGATATTTACCTCAATTCGGCCAAATCAATACTCAAATTATTATTATTATTTTTTTTTTCCACAAATTCACCCCCGCTCAGCTTAATCTAGACAAAGACGACTTAAATACATCAAACAATGCAAGAGAAAATAATTTTAATTAACAAAGCTATGATCTTTATACAGTTTGCAAAAAGTCAACAAAAGTAAACGGTCACGTCCGATCGAAACCCAGTTCCAAAGGTAGGTCTTGTCTACCCATAACCCATAACCCGGGTCCAAGGATAGCCTTAAAGTCAAACTATGGTCAAACCTAAAAAAATTCTAAACCTTTAAATTGCCAACTTACGCCAAATGATGCCGAAACCTTTTAGAAACATCCAAATAAAATTCCGGGAATACGCCTAAGTCCAAATTCACCATCCGGACCTACCGGAACCATCGAAACTCCGATCCGAGGTCAAATACTCGAAAGTCAAACCTTAGTTAATTCTTTCAACTTCGAGCTTCTTAAATGAGAGTCACTCCTAAAAATCCTTCCCGAACCTCTCAAAAACCCGAGCCGATGATGCACGCAAGTCATAATACACTATGTGAAGCTATTTGTAACCTCAAACTACCGAACCAGATGCAATTTCTCAAAACTACCAGTCGGGTCATTACAAATAGAAAGCGAAGAATAAGATAATACAAAAAAGATAATAATAAATACTACTGATATGGTAACAAAAATCAGATACAGTGCCCAAACTTTACTACATACAAACCTTCTACCCTAATCCTCAACCTCTTTATCTTTCTATCTAGGGTCATGTCCTCGGTAAGCTGAGAACGTGCTATGTTCTGTCTAATCACCTATCCTCGATACTTTTTTGACCTATTTCTACCTCTTGTCAGACCCATAATAGTCAGCCTTCTTTCACCTATTTGACTTTTGGTCAAGAGTTTACCATTTTAAGATAAATTTGTAAATGGAAATATCTCAAAATATCAAAATATCTCCCTTTCTTAACTATTGGATGGTTAAATGAGATTAATTTTAGGTGCTTTAAATTGGTTCTATATTTTTTTAATTCTTTATGTAGTGGTGGTGTTCTCGCGGCCCTTGCACCTCTATTACTCCACCATGTATCTCCTACATTATAGGTAACGGATAACTTCGCTCACCAATCCAATAAATTCTACTGTATTAATTTAGTAAGTTCATTTACTCTCTTGGATGATACACATTCTCGTGATTTGTATCCAAGGGTCACTTAGACATTGAAAAATTGGATTATGAAATAATTGCGAAACATAATTTTTGAATTGGACCAATATTTCTAATTAAATAAGTATGAATAAAGGAACCGTGGATGAAGATAGAAAGTTAATTTCTAATCTTAATTAAATTCAATTAAAATAGCTATTAAACGATGACTTTGGTTTACTAGAGACATCAAGTGAGCATTACCAAAGTGTTTCAAAGATGGAATTATCTTGATGTATGTCTGTCTTGCATAGATCAATCTAATTTAAAGGAAATCTCTGTCATTATGCTGAAAAAATCAAATATGAAACTCTATACACCTTAAAGTTCATATGGAACTCCGCTCACCAATCTAATAAATTCTACTGTATTAATTTAGTAAGTTCATTTGCTCTCTTGGATGATACACATTCTCGTGATTTGTATCCACGGGTCACTTAGACATTGAAAAATTGGATTATGAAATTGCGAAACATAACTTTTGAATTGGACCAATATTTCTAATTGGATAAGTATGACTAATGGAACCATGGATGAAGATAGAAAATTATTTCTAATCTTAATTAAATCTTCAACTAAAATAGCTATTAAACGACGACTTTGATTTACTAAAGACATCAAGGGAGCATTACCAAAGTGTTTCAAAGATGGAATTATCTTGACGTAGGTCTGTCTTGCCTAGATCAACCTAAGTTAAAGGAAGTCTCTGTCATTATGCTGAAAAAATCAAATATGAAACTCCATACACCTTAAAGTTCATATGACGGAAAGAGATTTTTTAAGATTTTTTTGAGGTCCTTACACTCATTACACTCATTATGCCTAGCACTGAATAAACTAGATATTCACCTTATTAAGATCTCAGATCAATGATGGGATCTGTTGGCACCTCCTAAATGGGTGTCCAAATTGGACCAAACTCTTTCACGTACATGATTAAGCTGTAAAGATGAATTTTAAATATTGTAGTTTAATGACCAAGGATATCCCACTTATCGTTAAGAGAAATTGTGATTCAACATAGTAGTGAGTAATATATATGTCACGATCCGAAATTCCCACAGTCGGGACCGTAATAGAGCCTAATATTTCACTTGCCAGGCAAGCCAACGTTAGAACAAATTATCCATTTTTAACAGTTTAAATTAAATAATG